AGTATCTTAATAGACGACCATAACTAACTGCCCTAAATAAACAAATTTCTGACCACTTGACATTTGAGCTCACTATGTCATTTAAACCGAACACGAGTGTTCATACAAGATCACTTTCCAGATTCTCGTAGAATGTAGCCGCTTTTCTAATTGATCGGCCTGAAGTCGTATGTTACGATAGTTTGGCATTCTGCCCGAATGTTTATATTACCTGAATGTCAGTGACTAATTCCTTGCCTGTTCTGTAAGCATTACAGTAGAACTGATTTGGATACCGGCATTGACCATTTTTGTCGTACCAGGTCTGAAATATTCTGACCCATATCTCATAAAGTCACTAGCCACTGTGTAGCACTATCTCTCAGACCTCAGCCAGGGATTCGTGAAAAACCAACAGAAGCCAGCCCTTTGCAGCTTTCTTTCATCCCACGACACCATGTCATATACTGACCACCTCTCCGCTTCTTCCAATCAATCCCAGAGTCGGCAAATAATGCACGACGTGGAATTCTCCGGTACGACATTCGTATAACATGTCCAAACCACCGAAGTCGGTGTTTCAAGATGCTGACACCAATTACATTATCGTCTCTTTGCCCGAACACACGATGCCGAACCTCCGCATTACTAACATGGTGTTGCCACTGAATGTCAGCAATCCTTCGGAGACAACGATGATCGAACACAGAGAGTCGTCTAACGTTTTCAACTCGGAGAGGCCAGGTTTCACAAGCATAGAACAAAACTGCTCTCACCGACGCGTTGTAGATCCGACCTTTTACAGCCAGACTGACATCACGAAGGCGACAAAGATGGCCCAGATTGGCATAAGCCGTTCTGGCTTTCACTATATATGCATTGATCTCATCACTCACACCCCCGCCAGCACTTATGCAGCTACCCAGATACACGAAATTCTTGACTACTTCTATCTGCTCACCATCCAGGGTGAGTACAGGATTAGAATCCTGCCAGTCTTGTACAAGTACTTTGCACTCCGAAAATGCAAAACACATACCATAACTAAGGACACTGATTGCCAACTGATTAAGCGCGAATTGCATGTCTTGGGGATTATCGCACAGCAAGACAATATCGTCCGCATACTCAAGGTCGAGCAGTCTTTCTCCAGGCAACAGATCCACACCACCATTACTTACATCCATCAGAGCTGTTTCCAGAATGTCGTCGATGGCAAAGTTGAAGAGGAATGGTGAGATTGGGCAACCCTGTCTAACCCCACTGCTCGAATGGAACAATGGAGAAAGGTGTTTGTATGCCCTCACTCTCCCTGAGGTGTTTTTATATAGGGCTTTTAGGATGTTAATAAACTTCTCAGGCACACCCTTCTTCAATAGACAATCCCAGAGAACAGTCCTATCCAACGAATTGAAGGCAGCCCTGATGTCAAGAAACACTACGATTGTTGGCCTTTGATAAGTATGGCGGTGTTCTAACATTTGGCGGAGGGTGAAGATTTGATCAATACATCCTCGACCAGAACGAAACCCAGCCTGCTCCTCGCGAGTCAATCTTTCTCGGGTTTTGAACAACCTACGAAGTATGACGGAAGCCAATAGCTTGGACGCAATCGGATGTAGACTTATCTCCTGATAATTGTTACAGGGAAGACGTGAACTCTTTTTAAAGATAGGGTCGATTATCGACTCATTCCATGATGTTGGAATGATCTTTAATTCACAGACTTTCCTCCAAACGCAGTGTACTGTTCTCTTCTAGAGTGGTAGGAACATTGCCAATTGGTTATCGAGCTATCAGTGCCAACTTGTTAAGTGAACGTTGTCTCAGTTTATAATCAAATGCAGAAATTTAGTCCAGAAAAGCTCATCGAGCATATTTCTTACCCTTTTCCAAGTTTAACACTTTATTGTGTTGCAGAACAGCAACGGCATCTAAGGTGCTTCTTTTGCATCTGTATGTAAACTGATACGGATCAATGTGCTCTTTTATCGCAGGCTGAAGTGGAATTATCATTATTTTTTCATTGTTTTGAGGAAAGGTGAAGTTATCGCTATGGTTCTAAATTTCACATGATTATCACCAGATACTTTCTTAGGTATAGGGAGCATCTTTATCTTTCACCACATTTTCGGTATGAGATTAAATGAGAAGGTTCTGTTAAAGATACTCGTGAATGGATAATGCAGGACGTCAGCACACCTTTTAAATAGGAGGCCTGGGGTATCTTCAGGTCCTCAACACCTGGATGAATTAAGTGACTGTAGACATCTTCAGACATCAGTTTCAGGAACACAACTATTCTTTAAACCTGTGTATATAGGGAACATAAAATCAGGTGACTGACGTACAAAAGACTTATTTAAGTCACAGACATTCAGCCGGTTATCTCTTCTAATGTGCCTGTCACCTGTGAGTTCTTTAAAGAGTTTCCACATACTTTGAGAGTTTTTACAAAACATGAGTTTTTGAGTATACAAAGAGTTAAGACGTCTAATCTCCAGGTTTATCAGACCATTTAGCTTACGAACTTGATTAAAAGGTTCCTCCTTGTACATTCTTTCTTTTACCCTCCGTAGTTGTTTTAATTGTGAAGATGTAAGTCAATCAATACTTACAAAAATGATTTCGTTGGGACAACAAATATCAAAACACAATATAAGGTAACAAGAGGTAACATCAGTAGTGATTTCCAGTGAGTCATCTGTAGATAATTGCCAGTTAGTCGTACGAAACATGTTTTTTAGGTTTCAACTATTTTCTTCTGAGTAATCCTTATATTTGAATTTCTGAGTTTAATGTAAGAGTGTACTCTTTCCATGATTTCCATATACTTTAGGTAGAACACGAATTATTCAGTGATCCGAGCTAAACAATGAAGCATGTTTACGAGACACATATATACCCACATCATTAATGAGAACGAAGTTTAAATGAGCATCCACAGGAGTGGAAACATCTACTACATTTTAATGACCTAGTGATGCAAGGAAGCTAGTCACATGAATTGAAATCATCACATACAACTGAAAGTGAATCATTGAAGGCATCAGCAGCGAACTCAGCGCAGCTGATGTGAAGTCTGGAGTCACGTAGATGTTGGTAACATAAAAATATTTGTATTTATTCAGATGTATTTTACGGCATCTTAAAGTTAGACAGTCGATAAAGTCATTTAAAAACTTGAAACTCGCAAAAGTAGATCGACATCAGTTCACGTTTACAAACGTAACTACACCGCCGCCACATTTATTTTTATTGTTTGTTATGCAAGAGCGATAAAAAAGCACAATGACAAATTTCGGCTCATTGTAAACTTAATCGCTTTTTCATCTTTTCCAGCCGTCCTGGAAACAAGAAAAGGAATTATAGGTGCATTTCGAAATGCGCTCGTACATGAGTAAGGACACAAAATAAGTGCAAATAAGAAAATAAAATGGTATACATGAGTTTAGTTAACATGCATTGGCATCTTAACGATCTTCGCACGATGGTGTTCTGTAAAAAATATATTAATACGCATAAATATGAGCATATCATCAAAAAAAATCGTTTATGGTTTTTTTACATGATGATACAAAAAAATTAACGAGATGAAACAAAATGTTATGTTGTTCCTTACACGCAGTGGTCGTACAAGTGTTCTGAAAATTCTGACGTTCTTCCAGAATGCGTCGTTTTAGGTCGGTTATCAGACACCATGGAAGTTTCGTTGTGACTGCCGATTATAGGTCGGGTATCGTGATTGTTGTTCTTATGTCGTTCGGTTGCACCAAGGGAATGACAACGTTATTGAGGTCTCTTTCTAAACAAACGGCTTTGCGACGATCAATGCTTATTCTATCGTTTTTTTCTTATAGATTATATAGTACTTAGGTTTTCGGCAGAGGACTTTCAAAGGTTTCCCATCGAGAAGTGAAGACCACATTACGTGGTTTTCATATTCATAGGGAGATGTGTAGAAAAAATAAGTATAAAAGAGTGAAGCAATACATAAATCACTGAGATATTTAACTCTCATTGTCTTAAAGCATCTGGGATGGACGAATAACTATAGGCGTTTAAATTTATATTGGATGAATGGCAAACTCAGTTGCTTTACAGCGTTCCATAACGACGTACTTGCATCGATTAGTAATGATAATAATTGTTTTGAGAGTTCAAATAGAAAATTGAATATATTTCAAAAACCCTTCAACAACTACTGTTCAGCAAGCTGGAGAACGAACTTAAGACAGCTTTAAGACGACAAAAGCTCTAAAATAGTGTACTCCAAATGTAGACAGCATTTGAGAAGCAATGAGATTTCGCAAGTAAATCTCCTACATAAAAAGAGTGGACGGGGACAGCGTCCTGACCTCGAGTAGCAAGGTTTAGTGCAGGAACGAACTTTAGTAACAAAATAACAGTCGATTAAAAACCGGAAAACACTTGAAGATTAAGGTTAGATCGTAGGTGTAAATACCAGTGCGATGTCATTCGCCAAATCATCTGGCAGTCGGGTCTCCGAATATAGAACAGTCTACTGGTCACAGTCAAGGTCAATCGTTAGCCATAAACAGATGTATACAGAAGAGATCGTGTTCCGTGTCCTGAACCTATTTCTGACCGATAAATGTTGTTAATGTCGTTGTGTTCGTTCATCAAAGTAGCCATAGTATCCGGAATCCACGAAAGGATATCCATAGAGTTCTGAGTGAGCTAGCTGGTTACGCCTTTTCAGTCCCTAATCATCGACAAAGATTGCCTACATTGGCGGCTAAAATTACTTGTTATAACAACGGCTAAGTAAAATTTCTCATCTACTTTTTGTTTCCAAATGTCCGGGTCTCGGTGAAATAGGAAACCTGTCACCTTTGAACTTAAGAGGTAGCTAAATTAAATTATTCGTTTTGCTCATAAATATTTGCTCTCGTGGGTCAATAAAGACGAACACACTATTACAATGAAACATAAATTTTACGGTGACGAATAATAGTTATTTCGTTAGGAATGAATAGAGAAGAAAATTTCATATAGAAATGAACATAATCAGGGTATTATATCGGGCATATGAATTTCCGATCAGAGAGAGGCACGTTAATCCTGAAATTCTCACAGATAGTGAATGTGTGAGATTCAACTAACATTTAATTTCTTTGCTGATGTACATATTTAGGCGCTGCGTTTGACACTACCGCGTTTTTCGCGCGCTAAACTAACATACAGCTACCTTCGTTGTGATTGGTCAGCTCAATGGCAGTAAGTCTGTGTTTTGGCAAATATTTGGTTTTTACTCAGTGAATCCAGTTCTCAGCCAACAGCTTATTGACTTAATTAAAACTGTCAAGTCGTAATATGAAATTAGTTCCATATGTTTCACATTAAAATAGTTCCCCATAAAGATTGATTAAGTGTTTTCTGCTGAAAGCACCCAATTTTCTTTCCTGGGTTATGTTTGATTTCAAGTTTTATGAACACTCCCACTTTATGCGAAATTTGTATGCCCTTTAAACATTTATCACTAGTTAGGATTAAAGACTGGCAATAAGTTTGTTTGCTTCACAGATCTACAGGAACTGTGCTCTTGCGTTGCAATCCATATGCAGCAGTTAGCTACTAGGCATTATGTTATTTGGTATATTGTAACTAACAGTTAGGATACTATTAATAGGTCTCACTCACTTTTTGTCTTAATGATGATATGGTCTGTTTCTAGGAAGAAACTATTATCGTCTATTTATTGAATAATTCGGGTGCCCGTACTAATATTTATGTGTGATTTACACCATATTGTTAGTATACTTAACTCTACATATTTACTAACAATATTATGAGCCTTCATATACATCAACCAATGCTCACTAGTTATTTTTCGTCTAATCATGTTATGGATCATTGAAGTAGGCACCCCGACTCTGGATAAAGTTCAAAAAGCCATAGGTAATCTGAAACAAGAAAAAGCAGCTGGTCCAGATGGACTGGCTCCAGAGGTCTTTAAGTATGGTGGTCCAGTTTTAGCGATTAGGTTGACCAATATTTTAGCTAAAATCTGGGAGCTGGGCGTAATCCCATCTGACTGGTCGCAATCACTTATTGTCCCTATGAATAAGAAAGGGTCAAAATCATTCTGTGATAACTATAGAGTGATTAGTCCAACTAATGTAGTGTCTAACATACTAACCTCAATTATTATCGGACGCCTAAAAAAGACTCGTGAACTGCAAACACTAGAAAACCAGGCAGGCTTCAGATCTGGTGGCTGCATCGACCACATAATCACCATTCGTCAGATTTTGAATCACAGGCATGCTTATCGGCGTGCAACAATAATAGATTTTGTTGTCTTGAGAGAAGCATTTGACTCTGTAGACCGACAGCTTCCGTGTCAGTGTCTGTCATTGAAAGTTGTACTTCAGAAGTTCGTAAACATTGTGAAGGCTCTTTACTCTAACACTGCCAGTCGAGTCAGAGCTTATGCTGAACTGTTATCCGATTTGGCAACCTTAAGTACTGTCCGAAAAGGCTGTCCACTATCTTCATTTTTGTTTAATTTCATCATAGACCTGCTGTAAATAATGTTCTCATCGACTGAATTCTCGGACCTTGGTCTTCTTCCAGGAGGTCTATTTATCAGTTTAAAATACTCAGATAACATAGTCCTGTTTGGCAAAGACGCTAATGAAATGCAGTCTTTTGCTAGCACTGAGCAACAATGCCAGGACGTTTAGGATGCGTTTCTCCCTTCTCAGTGTAAATTGTCGCTTCGTGACTGGCCCTCGTCAACATCTGGATAGGGAGTGAAATAGTTGAACGCGTTGACAACTTCACTTATCTTGGAAGTCTGATCAGCCCTAATGGGTTGGTATCGGACGAAATCTCATGACGGATTCGAAAAGCTCGCTTGGCCTTTGCCAACTTACGTCACCTATGGCGAAGGCGAGATATCCGTCTATCAATAAAAGGACGAGTATACTGCGCGGTAGTTCGTTCTGTTCTACTTTACGGCTGCGAAACTTGGCCATTAAGAGTAGAAGATACTCGTAAGCTACTAGTATTTGACCACAGATGACTTGGAAATATTGCTCGCATCTGCTGGGATCACCGGGTAAGTAATAGTGGGGTTAGACACAGGGTATTAGGGAATGATGGTAAATCAATTGATGAGGTTGTGAATCTTCATCGACTGAGATGGTTGGGCCACGTGTTGCATATGCCTGGTAATCGATTACCATGACGCGCAATGTTGGAGACTCTGGGTGACATGGCTCAGAATCGATCACAATGGCGTCGGTGTATACAATTTCTGTTTTCCTTGAGGTTAAAATTGCTATGTATCTTTCTTTATACGAACTAATTCTTTCTTCCTGTACTATATCCTTATACACAATCTTTCCTTTATATATTACTATCACTGAATTAACTACTTCTATGAATCCGGTGTTCATCTTGTTGTGTTAATGAGGTATGGCAACTTGGATCGGTGCACGTATATTCCTGGTTCTACGTTACAGCTGAGTGACTCCATGTCATTCTCCTCTTAAATGATCTGTATTTCTCACTCTGCTCTCTAATTTGTTGCTATTAGTTTAACCAAATAATGGTTTTTACTAGTTTTTAAACCTCGGTAATTCAAAACTCATCTTTTTCTCAGTTTATCTATACAATTTTTATTTCCTATCTGTATTCAAAACCCCTGACTACATTTAAATGTGTTGGATTAATACCACTCTTACGTAAACAAAAGGCAAGTTCTTCAGCGCAAATGTTATCTCTTTTTATAGTTAAATATATTATTTTTGGTAAATGGTTTACCATCACTCTGTCAAGAAGTAATCTGTCTTTTTGACTAAACAAATAAGTGATAATTTTCCCGGTATTGGTGAAAATCATGTTACTTGTCGATATTTCTGCATGTCATCCGAAAATTTCATTATTTCATGCGCCCAGTAATTTATATGTATGACTGTATACATAACTAGAGTAGGATATGATTCTAGATCTTTGGTAATGAAGTTGCTCCTGTAATTTATCGGTTTATTTCTCGTACAGCTGTGTAGCGGTCATACATATTGGCTAGAAACATGTGATAACTGGTAAGGTTGTTTCAAAACAGACATTACATATATTTCAAACCTTTTTCATTAAGTTCAAGCTACCGGTTTTCACAAGCCTACAGTATCATGAAAACTTGTGTTAAAGAGCTTTGAGTAGTATCCTTTACCTGATCAGTTGCCACTTCAGTTTGCCTGCTTCCACAGAACACTGATTAGTAATATGTGGGGCATATCCCTAGTCAAAACTTTCAATGAATATCTTGTTTCATCATATTTTTCACCATGCTCGTATTTTAAGATTAGTTATCAACATCCGACACCAACAATTAATGATCTTTAAACAACTGCATAGGATTTACAGTGTACTTTAACTGTTCATCAGAGATTATCTTTGATTTGATCATTTCGAATAAATTGGGCGTTGGGTTGATTGTTATAAATAAAAATAATATATTTATTTATTATCATCTTTGTTTCCATCGGAATATGTTAGCTTCCCTCATTGCCGTTTCTTTTTCATTTGTTTGTTCGATGCCATAGCCAATAATAATGTGCGGCATTGGTTTGATTTGATTGACTTTTGATAGATATCACTCCTGGAAAATTTACGCAAACTCACATTATTTTAGATCTAATCGCTTATTATATCACGTGACACCCATCATAATAAGTAGCATAGTCTGAGCTAATCCAAACAAACCTGCCTAACTACATGGCTTATTTTTAGTTTTTGATGAACTCTTCGAGGTCAAGAGAAAAAATTGGAACTAAATTAATAGAGACAATAATGTATATTCTGACAATTAACAATACTATTGACACTACAATAATAATGGTTTATATGCATGTTTGCTGCTTGTGCTGTCACAAAAAACCCCAAAGTTCGTTTACAATTAATATTTTTATTCGATAGTTCTCAGAAACTTGGTCAGTTATGCTGGTATCGAATATAGCTGGCCATCACTTACTTATAAGTAGATGAATGATTCTGTAAAACGTTGCCAAGGTATTATTACCGTTTGCAAAGTAACAAAAGTTTTAATGCATAACATGAGAAAAGTTGAAAAAATGCCATTTTAAGCTGTTATCAATGTGAAAAGTGCAGTAAACTAAAAAAGCACTCAACAATGCTTATTCATAAAATGTTAAAAGGCAAACTACGTGGAAAAGTCAGTAAAAATTTACATTTTCAATAGCCTCCTCAGATTTTCAATTATCTGTAAGTACCTTTCATTCATCTTGAAATTCCCATTCTCGTAATGTTTCACCAGTTATTGTAACGTCAAAACAATTTGATTCGTTACCATAAGATCGTGTTTCAACTGGTATTTTTAAAATTCAGCCTTACTCTGTAGTGAAACAGTAACCCACTATAACATAAGTGTAAAAAGAATGAACTAATTTAAGCGTTTAGAAAGAAAAATTTCGTTTTTTCTAGTTACTTCAGTTGTATATCAGGATTATAGAAGAATTTTTTGAGTAGTTTATGTTACAGATTGACTGTAACTGAGACAATCAGTAGAAACCAATGAACACTAGATAGTTGTTTCGATCAAGTATGGAAACCCTCAATAGTTCACATTCATGACTACTGAAATACCGTTCTGTAATCCACATCTACAACCTCAGTAAAGTCGTGGTATTACGCTATCATTGTTTATTGTAATAGTTGATATCTGTATGTTAATCCTGGCCTTATCAAACTCCATCGTTCTTATCTTTTTATTAGAGTTTTGGAATTTTCTGAATTTAATCATCAGTAAGCTAATGATTTATCAGAATGAAAGGATTATAATGGTTGTACAGTTTAGAAATGATTAACATCACAGACATTGACTCCATCTGGACATCCATTGAAAACCAGGAAATGTTGAACAGCTGTTTTTGTCTGGGATGAGACCATCCAGATATCTTGTACATAAAACTAACACTTCCAGAAAATCAGTAGTTGTACTCGACATAAAGTCATGGTTCATAGTGCAAATCATAGTTAAATATGCAGATTTTCTGTCCAACGCAAACTGAACTACTAACTCTATAAAAACTGGAAAATCTTTCACGAAATTCATGAATTACTGAAGGATGTTTATAAACCTTAAATATTAAAGAAAATGGCTCTTTTCATGTATATCGTGCCTTTCAGATGAATCTCATGAAAACTGGTAGGCTGATACAAGACCATCGGTCAGTACGTGAGTCAGCAACAACGTAGAACTTCGTACGTACGTACGTACGTCAGCTCAAGTCGCCATACTACACTAGCACTGAGATACAATTGTCTATTCAAATCCCGTAGTGGTAGAGGCAGTAAAAGTATAAGCAGTAATCGGAAACATTAGGGTTTGAAGATGCTATTCAAGAAGTGTAATCCAATGAAATAAATTTGGAAAGAAAAAAGGGACAAAAATCAAAGAAATAGATAACTGCATCTATCTGTACATGAAATAAGTAAACAAAGAGTCTGAAATTAATTGAACTCGAGGTAATCCGCACAGGATGCTCATATCTCAACAAAGACTGATCAAATCACGTTAAGAATATCAGTAGGATAATTCAGAGTATTTGGGTTTTGAATGTATAGAAGATATTTTCAAACGAGAGATTATATTTGTAGAAAATCTCAGCAACTGGAATTATAAACGATCAAACGGGTATTTAATGTGATATTTGCTCGTAGACGTTTACGCTAAGCGGTTATTTTAATCGAAAGTTATGATACGGTTAAAAAGAAATGTCATCAGTTAATTTCCTACATATGATCACTAAGTATCAATGGATTTATTTTAACCAATGGACGTATCCTAGTGGTTAATTATATTCACAATATTTGGAAAGTGTGACCTTTATTATTTGCATTGACCTACAGTGTAAGTGGCGAAAAATCTCCACTCATAATAGCTACCGGTTACTGAAAGAAAACATTTAACTACGGTTATGTCCAGTTTGTGATTTCAGACTCTACATGATGCTATACTTGTTTCTTGACCGGTAGGTTAGTGATTAAAAAGCTTTTAGCTAACAGCAGGTCACGGGTTCGAACTCCATTCCACATCATCCAGTTTTGGTAACCAGGTAGTAAAATTATGGCTCGCACAAATTGTATTTCTTTTATCGACTCATTTGTTTGGTATAGAGCAGTTTTCAAAGCCTATCCTATTATTTCAGTTTAGATAGCTAGATTTCTATCATTATTTCTCATACTTAGATTGGGCCTGAAAGCCAAGTGTACAACTATGTACCTAATAACTGACTGGATAAAATAAAAATTCAGGTATCTCCCCTTCCGCTGCACATTTGAAACTTATCCACAATCGGTTTTCATATTTTCTCTGATTACTTTGATCATATATAGAGATTTAACTAATAAAGACGGATTACATTGTAGTATATGAATATTTACTTGTATTCATTGTGATGAAAGTAAACGAGAAAAATGTTTTCAAGCCCATTTTTGTTTTAAACGTCCTCCTATCAGTGTGATGTTTATAGTATAATCTATGTAATCTCTTCATGCACTTATATTACTAATTTCAAAATAAGCCCTTTACAATGAAAAATATAATATTTTGTACTATTAGTAGTGAAATGACAGAATAATGATCGTTACTACCAAAGGTCATTTTATTGTTGTCGAATTTAACCTAAAATTTGTAATATATACGTCTCTGTCTCATTCATATATAACCTCAGACACTGCGTCAAGAATTATCTGGAAAAATACTTATTTTAAAAAAAAGGTTAATGAACCAAGTAACGATAGTAGTGACGAATAAGTTTGAGTTTATTGACTTTAACTTTTATTTACTCATCAAATAATGGTCAAATCAAATGATTCACAAATGTTCTATACCTAGTACAAAAAACAATATCTGGTTCTTAAATTTATAAGATTAATGGTAAATCATATGAAGTCATGAACTGAAGATATAACAAACTATTAGCATATACTTGGGTGGTATATGTTGTTAAGTAATTACTTGTTTATTAAAACAAAGCAGTCAGGTAAGGAAACAAATGCCCTGGCACAGCTGAGGGTAGGGAGAGTCAGCTCTCCCTCTCCAAATGCTCTCATATGGCCACGTGCATACAACCACTGTTAGGGAAGTCCTAATTACTGCCTTCTCGCGGCGAGGGTGTTGTTTACGAAACTGAGAGGATGGAAAGCGAATGTCTGGTGCCTTAACCGAGTCGGTGGTTACGGAGGACCCATCTAGAGATGTTGGAAAATTCTGATTCCGAACCAATGGTGCACATGGGCTCCGAGATCCTGAGGGAATATATAGAGTACGAATCTATTATCGGTCACCGGCTACCATGGGATGGAATCTCCTGACGTTGCTCCCCTGTCTTGTGGATTAGACTTCTGGGTTAAAGGCTCATGGAGTGGCCCCTTAAGAAAACCCACATGCTTCGGTTTAGGTACCCAGGTAGTCTCTCCCAGCCCTCACACAAATCGAATGGTTTATGTGGTGTATATGTATTTGGTGCCTCCTTGTACCAATGTTTATGTGTTTAAATAAAAAAAACATGTCAGTAGTTTTGCTCAAGTCGATCACACAACTGCATTTTATCTACATCCATATCTGAAACCAGCCTAGTTTTCTTGGGTTCGCTATTAACGAATGTTAGTTAAGCGTCGGACGATTACTGAATCTAGCATTTTAGGCACTCTATTAGTCAAACAAACTTCTGGTCTGATCTGTAGTCGAAACCATTCAGATGGGATTACGTTCAGTTCCCAAATACTAGCTAATATATTAGTCATTTTCATTAATAAAACTAGACCATCACCTTTTACTGATCTTTAAAGTTAATTTATCAGGTTCTATTGGTTTTCCTCGCCTCAAATAAGGTATAACTTTATCAATCTCTTCAAAATAATAGATAGTTTATGTCGATTGTTTGAAAGTAGTATGTAACTCAAGGCCAGTAAAATTGTTCTTTGAAGTGTTCTCCCTATCGTTCCAATCGTTTCGTATTGTGAGTCGATTAGAGTCCTGTCTTGTCGGAGATAGACTATATATATATATATATAATTGTTTCAGCTATTAACTTATCAGTTTAATTAAAATGTTTCATATCTCTAATTTTAGCTTCATTGAATATTTCAAAGTGAACAGCAATTATTCTACATAATAATATTCTCATTCATAATATCTTTAACATTGAACCCGCAAATTGTGATCAATTCAAACATTGAATCTATTTTTCTTCCTGTAATTCATCTAAACAGAAATTGGAAAAGTTATACTATTGGTAGTAGTAATAGCAGTAGGTATAATTTGCAAAAAAGAATGACAGTTGACTTTCTATCATGTGGAACATGTTTTGTTACTTTTCGCCTTTCTGATATTAATATGTTTATTGAGCATAAAAAAGCAAGTTGTTGTTTCTTGAGATCACCGTTTACTTCAAATTTAGAAAATAACAAATGTTCTTCATTGTTACCATCATTAACATCATCATCATTAGAAACACCCTCATCATCATCATCATCAACAACATCGTCGTTTTCATCTTCACCTCCATTGATGACATTATCATGTTCAAATGTTATGGACAATATTAATAATAATAATAATAATGATAATAATCATAATACTTTATTAGAATCACAAAATAGTAATACTATCTTTTTAAAATGTGTTCAATGCTCTCGTAAATTCACAACTCCATGGACATTTTTAATGCATGTTCAAGTTGAACATCAATTAATATTTATTGATACAATTGGAAAATTTTCTAAAACATATGAACAACAATTAAAAAATACATTCACATCAAATGTTGAAGAATTATTGAATGAAACTAATGTTAATAACAATGATTTTAATGTTGATGTTGATGATAATGATGAGGATGATGATGATGATGATCAGTGTGAAAATGGTGTACTGCATACAATTGATAAATTACTCTCAGAAAAAGTGAACAATTCCGATTCTGATACAACAATTACTTCTCCTGTTACAAATGATGATAATAAATGTATTAGTCCTAATAATAATAATGATAATAATAATAATAATACAAATAGTACTACTGTTACACCTACTATTACAAGTAACACTGCTCATACCGATAACAGTAGTAGTACTAGTATTAATAATAACAGTCATAATGCATCAACACAAACTTATCTAACTGGAATTAAACAACACAGTATACCTCATAGAAAACGTAAATATGTTAGTTGTTGTATAGGTGAATCAACAGTGACTTGTAATAGACTTAACAATATAAAAACTTGTTCAAACGTGAAAAGTTGTAATCTTACACTTTCATCGTGTTGTAATAATTTATCGACTGGAATATGTCCATATAATTTTAATAGCAATAATAATAATAATAATGATAACAGTGATAATAGTAATAATAACAATAATGATAATAATAGTAATGGCAGTTCTATGAATTCTGATATATTTGTCAGTGATTATTGTTGTACTACAGGATCAATTATTTGTAAACCGACAACATGTTCAAATTTATTAAATACAAATGAAATAATTACACAAGATACATCAAGATGTACTGCATCTACGGCAATTGTTAGTTGTTGTATGCGTAAACTTGTTTGTTGTACATCAACACCGGTAACATTACCAATATGTTGTGATCGATCAATGCAAAATGAAATCAATAATAATAATAATTTTATTATTCAAGAAACAAAAACTACCAATACTGCTCGAATTACATGTTGTCCTTGTTCACCGAAAAGATCAATAATTAGTCAATCATCTGAAGTACAAACTGATTTCGATCCAGAATTCAGTTATTCTGATTATGCTGATTTAGCAACGTTATTAAATGCAGCTACACCGACAACAATTACAAGTCCATTAAATTCAATATTATCACCACAATTACCATTATTATCAGATATCATTATACAACAATCATTATCACCTCCAACATCACCACAACAACAAAATAATGATAATGATGAATATTGTCAAAATATTGAATTACATTTAAAAAATGACATAATTAATAAACCTTATATTAATGTTGTAAATAATAATAGTAATTTTAAAATAAATGATAATTATTTATCATCACAAATTGATCATATCAATAATACAAATACAGATATCAATAATGATAATTCAATTATATTGAATAATTCCTCCTCATCATCATCATCATTGTCAACAATAACGACAACAAATGTTGACATAGATGTAACAATGAAATCGATGCCTGTTTCATCTGGAAATACTGTAATTACATCGAATGTTAATAATAATAATGATAACATGATCACATCCACTGCTAATGTTATCTTTCAAATGCCAACAATAATGCATACAAATTTGATTGCTTGTCCTAATATTGATAATAAAAGTAATAATAATAATAATAATAATGTCAATAAGTATTACTGTGATTCAATTCCACCAAGACGTTATATCTGTCGTGATTGTGGTACATCATTTCGTCAAAATGTTCATTTACGTAAACATATTATGATACAACATACTAAAGTAAAACCATTCAGTTGTCCTTATTGTCAATATACAACTGTTGAAAAAAGTCATCTTACTGTACATATACGTACTCATACAGGTGAAAGACCATTTAGTTGTCGTGAATGTAATTATTCATCCGCTCAAAATTGTACATTAAAATCACATTATTTACGTAAACATCCAACTAATTTAATTAAATGTAATTATTGTTCTGAATTATTTTTTACTGAATTAGAATTAACTAAACATCTACGTGGATGTAGTTTATCATTTCGTCAACAGTAACAAATTATTATTGTAAATTGTATTATTTTTGTTTAAAAAAAAATAGAAGAAAGTGATATTACAATTGTAACTCCGGTGTATTTTCTTCGTAGAATCATAGTAACATGGTTTTATTTGTACAGGTTTAGGCTATTGTTATTATTATTATTATTAGCACTATCAACATTGTCTGTGATTATTTGTATATTATCATTGTTATTTGCTGTTGTATTCAATATTAATATCAAAACTATTACCACTATTAACTGTTACAATTGTCTTTATTGGTTTTCGATGTATTTATGTGATTTGAATCACTGACTGATCGTAGTTAGATAACTACTCAAATCGAAGAAGCACTGAATAGTTGTTCTGTCTTAATGTGTACATTTACAACTTCAACAGAAATTGAACCTGATACCTTTAGGTCGCACTATGAAGTATTTAATCTCTAAACCACTGCGTTGTCGTCCAATGGTTTACTGTCTGACTTCAGGAGTTTCACAGCTATTGTTTAATGCCATTATTGAGTCCCTGTCGACAAGTTTAGACTCCACTGGTCACTGCTTTTAACTAGAACTCTGGGGATTACTGTTGCGTACCGCTGTCATTCATTTCATATACAAACATACACGCTTCCTATACGATTCTCCAGCCTACTGTGTGAGTGAAGTGACTAAGGAGCTGCAAGTGGTATTCGAATAAAATATACACTGTTAACATCTATAAATCTGTATTTTTGATAAAGACAAGGATATATAGACCAGTATCTTGACTGAGTACGTGATCTGCTTTTTTCGGTAATATGGCTTGTGCATCATCTCTGACTTACAATTTGACCTTCCATGTTATGTGTTGTATGTGAATCCTCCAGATTTATGATGAATTACAGAGTTATGTTCGTCGATTCCCCCTAAATACTGACAATATTGTATTGAACAACATATAAAAGCGAACAATATTGTTTTCGATATTTATATGCATATACGAAGTTATTAAACCAATCAAGGTAGTTTATAAGTCAATGATAACAATGAAAACGATTACATAATAAGTGAAACGTGAAAAGTACGAATTGATGGTGTGACAACAGGTGCATTAGTTTTTGATAAGAATAATAAAGGTTCAAACCAATGTTACATAATCGGAAATAGGTCAATGATTAGAATAATATAGACGGTGAGATAGCATTTATAAAATTATAAGATGACGTAATAAGAAATGTTCAGATAATTGGACCATATTGTATTGATCAAATTTTGATGTGGTCGCCGGCCTGAGTAGACATTAGATGTTAAATACATCCAAATACAGCATCAAAACATATTACACGCGATGTCTGTTAACTTAGACTAGTAACGATAATGCATTAAAGGACTAGACTAACACGACACTTCGCTACTCACTGATCGAAAAGTTATACAGTAAAAGTATAACGATTTTCGGTACATTAAGAAAAGTGATCGAGTTGTTAAATGGTCTAGTAACTTACTCAGATTACTACTAATCCCGTCATTTCATATTATATAGAAAATGCGTTGGTGATCAGTCCTAGGCATATATTTTGATATCAATGTTTACTTGTAATCAAGACTTCTCTGAATCAATATGCATGAACTCATATATATTGTGTTCAACAAATAAGCCAGTGAAAAACTAAGTGGATAGATTTCAAAATTCTCACTAACAATGTGCAGTAACTCGTGGTTATGATTTTTAGATAATCATCTCATTGCACATAATCCCTTCATTATTCACATATAAACGAAGGAATCACATCTACAACTATTAACTTGCCTAAATTATTAGATATCAGATATTTGTAGGAACTTCTGTGATCGTAGTAAAGTTGTCAGCCACTGTGGATACTTTCCTATTCTTCACAAGGGTTTCACACAAAAATATTTTCGAGATATTTATCACGGTTCATTAAATAATCGAAAGTCTCATCTTAGTAGAATTAATTTCATAACAAACTTCTCTTCGATTCACAATCCAGCAACCATAAACATCTCTTGAAAATGATTTTCAACCTTATTATTCAAAATAAATATATGAGACGACATAACTGTTATAATAAGAATGGAGAATCGGTGCTCAAATTGAAAAATTACTGGTTTTGTTATTGTGCATCCTGTGCAGATTGTTTCGAGTCCCTGAGTGAACAACTTTGGGGTGCAGGTACATTCAGGACGAAACGTGCGTCCTGGATTTCACTGCTAGCCACTATCCATCTTTGTTTATAAAAGTTGTGACTTAAGGCAACATGGGGGCAATCCGCACATATACCAACAAGTGACTGGTGAATTGCATTCCTAAACAACAATGGGAAGATACAAGAAAATAACACCAAATGAATTCAAATTTCATATAAGTTTTAAAAGCAAATTTCCAGTTGACGATATTGATAGATACGCTTCAAACTTTTAAAGGATTTTCACAAATGACACTTATCTTCCAACTTTCGGAAAAACTATTAATGAGACGGTAATTATGCACAGTCAGGCTGAAGCTTTAGGACATACACATCTACTAAAATTACAAAAGTATCTAATTAAAAAGAACTGATTAATTATTTATAAAATAATACGAGAAGTGGAATGTTTTACGTTCTTTACTACTATTATTATTGTCTCTGCTTATAATGCTTGTGGTCTAAGGCAATATTAATGCACTCCGCACAGGATGCATATATGCCAACAAGTGACTGATCAATTGCAGTCCTAAACAACAATGGGAAGGTCAAAACAACCAACACAAAATGAATTTAAACTTCACCCCATTGCACAAGCTATTGGCTATTAGGACTCAGTAGCTGAGTTGATAACGTGATGATGTCTGAAGAGAACGATACTGGGTTCGAGTTTCGAGGTGAACATCGTCTCAAACGCAGGTACATTCATCTGATGAGCCACAAATAGGATGAAACGTGCGTCCTGGGTTCCACCGCTAACCACTATCAACTATGCTTATAACTAACATTATTATTTATCAATACATTTTATTTTTACTAAAATTACAAATAATATTTGTTTTGCCAATATACTCGTATAGAATATTCATTTAAGTTGTATAACTATTATTGATATTATTATATTGGATAGATAGCTAACATACACAATGTATGTGCTTCCCGATAGTGTGTTTTAGATAATCAAATTTTCGTTATTACAAGGTTATTAGTTCAAGCTAAGCTTTGAATGTAGGAATTCAGTAGTGGTAGTAGTGTAGTGAACGAACACTCAGGGAGGTAGTATCAAATATATATATATATATATATATATATATATATATATATATATATATATATATATATATATATATATATATATATGACATTGATCGCCCCCCAGTGATCAATCAATTGTGAATACACCTCAGTCCTACAGGAGGTCGGTCGCGACCCGGATAGCTCACTGGTAACATCTCTGACTGTGAAGCTGGGTGACACGGAGTCGAATCCGTCGGCGAGCACCAGTTCCCTCAAGATTACAGGTACACCTTGCTGACGAGTGCCAAGTAGCACGAAAATCGAGTCCAGGGTCTCCTATTGACTACCTCCAACTACCATCTAATAGTAATGATCTGTCCAATAAATACGAGAGTTGAGGTTGGTCTTCATATATATAATTAAACAAATCATTCTATGGCATTATACCTAAACATCCAACATCTTGACTTAATTTGATATTGGTGGTTTCTATTTATTTCAATACTAATAAAAGTTTATATTTCCATAATATGAGTATGTTTTATTTCACTGCATAAAACTGTACATGGAGTAAAGTATTTAAAGACACTTGTTAGACTATTCAAATAAAAAACATACCATATTTACGACTAGATTCAAAAGTTGGTTATGCCATTTAAAGAGAGATAGGATACATATCCGTGAGTTTGTACCGAATTCGTTTGTCAGTTTTCAATGTATCTGCGGTATTAGAAGATTTCAGGAAGTTTTCCGTGAATGTAGCAAATAAGTTAACTTTCATTGGAGACCTCATTTCAAGCTCTAACTATCCCTTTTTTCATCCGACAAGTTGGGATTTTCTACAGTGTCATGTTCATGGTTGATATCTTTAGATGGTTGAAATCAAATCATCTGTAAAAATTCTATCTTTTTAGGCCTTCATCCATTAAATGAACAGAAAGATGGATTCACGAATCGTTTTAGGCTAGACCGCCATTGAAAAACTGGAAGCACTGGACAGCCGTCTCATCCTAGTATGGAGCTTGTCAGCAGTGCGCATGCACGATCTCGCACACAGGACTTGAACCCAGGACCTTTGATCTCGCGTGCGAACGATCAGTCTCTAGATCACTGAGCCAGCATTCAACGGTGTTAATGTCTAACTTGAACGGATCCTGCTTGCGGGACCATGGATATGCATTGCTGAGGAGTCCCATACTTGGACGAAACAGCCGTTCAGTGCTCCCAGATTTTTAATTATGGTCAGTTTAAATCGATTCATAAATTCAACTATCAGGTTGGTGCAATCTCCACAAACGCCTATTCTGATAATGAACTGAAATGTGTTTGAAAATCATAGAAATTGTACTTTTATTAGACAACAAAATAATAATGGTTAACCTCGAACTTATTTGAATTGACAAACGTCCATAATGTTACCTTTCTTTCTTATCTCAAAGTATTACAGTTTGAATAAACCACAAGTTACATACCCACACAAATCTAACAAATCTAATATTCATTTCAAACTACTGGAGGGGTGGGAATAAGAGATAATGTTTTCAACTTGCGGGATATAAACTTTTAAATGTTGAATCTGTTTTCAAAATCAGTGTAGAGTTCCAATGAGAATTTACCTCCTTGTACTACTATCGTTATCTGTTTTTGTTTGACCTTGAATTTAACCTCATCACTTGACCTTTACACCACTGAGTTTTTATGTACATTATATTCATTTTTGGAAAAATGTTCATAACAAGTATATGCTTGTATGATCAGTTCATTATAAGCTAATTTATACAAATACACTGACGATTATCAAACACGCTTA